TACACCACTCATCATACACCACTCATCATACACCACTCATCATACACTACTCATCATACACCACTCATCATACACCACTCATCATACACGACTGATCACACACAACTCATCATACACCAGTCATCATACACCGCTCATACACCAGCTCTGGTTTCAACAGCTCAAGCTCCAGGCAACTCCAGCTCCAGGTGCCGATTTCGTGGCAGGTACAGCACTTTGTGAACCTCCATGCGCAGATTTCGTGGCAGGCACAGCACTTTGCGAACCTCCATGCGCAGATTTCGTGGCAGGTGCAGCACTTTGTGAACCTCCATGCGCAGATTTCGTGGCAGCACTTTGTGCACCTCCATTCGCAGATTTCGTGGCAGGCGCAATACAACATGCGTTGTGGAGAGATAGCGAACGCACGAAATGCTGTATTTTTCAATGGAACCGGTGGCTCCGAAGCTGGCAAGTCAAGGTCTGCGGAACGACGGTTGCGAGACGGTCTCGGGTCATTCTCGGATCATTCTCGGGCATGGTCGGAATCGTCCCTCCATTGGGATTAGAGTTTTCACTTGTTTCTTGAAGTGCAGATTTCGTGGCAGGCACAGCACTTTGTGAACCTCCATGCGCAGATTTCGTGGCAGGCACAACACTTTTGTGAACCTCCATGTGCAGATTTCGTGGCAGGTGCAGCACTTTGTGAACCTCCATGCGCAGATTTCGTGGCAGGCGCAGCACTTTGTGAACCTCCATGTGCAGATGTCGTGGCAGGTGCAGCACTTTGTGAACCTCTATGTGCAGATTTCGTGGCAGGTGCAGCACTTTGTGAACCTCCATGCGCAGATTTCCTGGCAGACGCAATACGAAATGCGTTGTGGAGAGATAGCGAAGGCACGAAATGCTGAATTTTTCAATGGAACCGGTGGCTCCGAAGCTGGCAAGTCAAGGTCTGCGGAACGACGGTTGCGAGACGGTCTCGGGTCATTCTCGGATCATTCTCGGACATGGTCGGAATCGTCCCTCCATTGGGATTAGAGTTTTCACTTGTTTCTTGAAGTGCAGATTTCGTGGCAGGCACAGCACTTTGTGAACCTGCATGTGCAGATTTCGTGGCAGGCGCAACACTTTGTGAACCTCCCATTGCAGATTTCGTGGCAGGCACAGCACTTTGTGAACCTCCATGCGCAGATTTCGTGGCAGGCACAGCACTTTGTGAACCTCCATGTGCAGATGTCGTGGCAGGCACAGCACTTTGTGAACCTCCATGCGCAGATTTCGTGGCAGGCGCAGCGCTTTGTGAACCTCCATGTGCAGATTTCGTGGCAGGTGCAGCACTTTGTGAACCTCCATGTGGAGATTTCGTGGCAGGCACAGCAGTTTGTGAACCTCCACGCGCAGAATTCGTGGCAGGCACAGCATCTGGGGAGCTGGAAGCTGAGAACTGGCGGCTCTTGGCGACTTTCTAGTACAACTTTAGTACGCGGAGCAATCTGTAGAGCTGGAAGCTGAGAACTGGCGACTTTGTAGTACAACTTTAGTACGCGGAGTATCTGGCGAGCTGGACGATGAGAACTGGTGACTTTGTAGTACAACTTTAGTACACGGAGTATCTGTGGAGCTGGAAGCTGAGAACTGGCGACTTTCTAGTACAACCTTAGTACGCGGAGCAATCTGTGCAGCTAGAAGCTGAGAACTGGCGACTTTGTAGTACAACTTTAGTACGCGGAGTATCTGTGGAGCTGGAAGCTGAGAACTGGCGACTTTCTAGTACAACTTTAGTACGCGGAGCAATCTGTAGAGCTGGAAGCTGAGAACTGGCGACTTTCTAGTACAACTCTAGTACGCGGAGCAATCTGTAGAACTGAAAGGTGAGAACTGGCGACTTTCTAGTACAACTTTAGTACGCGGAGTATCTGGCGAGCTGGACGATGAGAACGGGCGACTTTGTAGTACAACTTTAGTACGCGGAGTATCTGTGGAGCTGGAAGCTGAGAACTGGCGACTTTCTAGTACAACTTTAGTACGCGGAGCAATCTGTAGAGCTGGACGCTGAGAACTGGCGACTTTCTAGTACAACTTTAGTACGCGGAGCAATCTGTAGAGCTGGAGGCTGAGAACTGGCGACTGTGTAGTACAACTTTAGTACGCGGAGCAATCTGTAGAGCTGGAAGCTGAGAACTGGCGACTTTCTAGTACAACTTTAGTACGCGGAGCAATCTGTAGAGCTGGAAGCTGAGAACTGGCGACTTTCGAGTACAACTTTAGTACGCGGAGCAATCTGTGGAGCTGGAAGCTGAGAACTGGCGACTTTGTAGTACAACTTTAGTCCGTGGAGCAATCTGTGCAGCGAGAAGCTGAGAACTGGCGACTGTGTAGTACAACTGCAGTACGCGGAGCAATCTGTAGAGCTGGAAGATGAGAACTGACTGGCGACTTTCTAGTACAACTTTAGCACGCGGAACAACCTGTGGAGCTGGAAGCTGAGAACTGGCCACTTTGTAGTACAAGTGTAGTACGCGGAGGAGTCATCTCTCGCGACTGAGTCATCTCTCGCTGCTGAGTCAATCTCTCGCTATAGCCATCTCTCGCGGCTGAGTCATCTCTCGCGACTCAGTCATCTCTCGCTGCTGAGTCATCTCTCGCGGCAGGTTTGGCACAGTTCATACTGATAGTATTTGGTCGCATTTATGCAGGACAGGACATTCAACTGCTGGTCAATACACCACTCATCATACACACTGATCCTGCAGGGGGCACACACCTTACACACGTGGAATCCCGTGGGTCAAAAGTCCGGAGCGCGTGCGTTTGACTGGAGGACGCGCATCTTGGAGAGGACGTGGACAGTCCTATAGGTCAATTTGTTCTTATAGGAAACTTCCGCCGCCGGCTTGCCCGGGAACTGCTTGTATTGTCATGAAGCATTTGCTTACAACGGCATCCATCTGCTTGTACGCAACCCGATGCAGAAACCCACGAAAAATAACAAAAAGGAAAACATCCAAACCAAACAAAAAAGAACTGCTGAAAAAACAGTTCAAACCGATGAGGCTGTGCAAAAACCTCGAGATGGGAGCCCAAAAAAATCCGGTGCAAGTCCTTTGTGGATTCAGGGGCCATGGCAGGTTTCAAAGGCCGAAATCACGATTTTGGAGATTTGCGCGTGTTGGGTGAAACAACTGATCTGTGCGCTTGGGAAGGCATGATGCCAGGTACCCCATGATTCCCATGATTAAGATTTGAAAACACCTAACCCTATTCAACAATGGCGTTTTCAACCATTCCGAGACCACTCTTGCATAATGCTCGCTGTTCGTTGGGATTGGAGAAACAAAAAACACAAGATCCAATGCAGACCGATCAAGAAACCGCAAAAAAAAAACACAAGAAAACATGAAGATATCAGTGGATCGAGCCCATTAGGTGTTTGTACATACGGAAACGACTCGGTTGGCCCACCTGTCCACGGTTACGGCGCGGCTGTTAGACTCGAACGCCTTTCGCAGCTGTTCCTCCTGCGCGCGAAGCATTTTGACCCAGCCTAATTCTTGGAGCATGTGATTGATGTTTCTTCGCTGCAGTCTGTCAAACCCATCGTGGATGACATTTACCAAAACTTACCTAGGGGATGGTCCCGCGAGACTGGGCCATCAGGTTTCTACTGCAAACACCGTTTTTTGCCGAAGGGACCATTGATTGGCCTTTCTTTAGATCAACATGTTTGCATTCAAGTGCCTCAATCAATGACAGGATCGAGTTTGCAGAGAAGGCCCGAAGCTGGTTGGCATCAAATGAGTTCCATTGCGCCATTACGCATTCAACACAATTTGGTAGAAAACGGAATGGAGCTGTCTGTCTTTAAGTCCATCGCCACATGGTTGCCTCATAGTGAAGATTTTCAAACCAAATGATGAGCAAGTCGCGAATGAAGGGGCTACAGTTGCCCATGATCGTGGGGTCTCTCTGGGTTGGCATTCAAGTAACTTGTACAGAGATGGCCTCAATAAAAATTTTCTCACTAGGTTTCGAAGCTGCCCTTTGGGACCCTTTCAGACCGCGTGCGTGCAGAACAACGTGATGAGCTAAGGCTGTGGCGACACACGCCTCCAGGCCTTGCCAACCTTTCTTTCTCGGTCCGGCAGCCTCTCCCCATCAAGAGGCCTTACATGCCTTCCTTGCCCTTTTTCCTAGGCTTTGACGCTGCTGTTTGGTACCGAAAGAACATGGCTGGCCTCCTGCGAATACAGGTTTGCGCAACGCATCCTGTTCGCGAAGGGGGAAATCCTTTCTTCCATGTCCTCCAACATTGCTTGTTGCACAAAGGTGGGCTCCCAAGAGCCGGCTAAGCCGTTGACCGACTTGATGGCCTCGTTCCTCAGCCGATCAATGTAGGCTGCATAGCGCTCCAAATTCGGAGACCAAGGTTGAAGAGCAGGACAGTGGTCTGTTGGGTGTCCACACTGACAAGAGTGGAAAGAGGAGACTTCTCCTTCTTATGAAGGAGAGCAAGATGGAAGACTTCCGGATGAGCGATGACTTTCGTGCCACTAAGGAGTTTCTACAAGCCATCATTGATGGGCCAGGCAGTCTGGCTCGCTATCATGTCGACTGGCGGAGGTTGAGTGGGGTGAGTGATTCATCAAGCGTGTGCCATGACATCTCTGTGAGGTGATGCGGCTGATGGTGAGCTATTACCAGATCAGCCCGGTCAACCTGGCATCGGCGGGGTATTT